TCTCCTCTATTTTTTTTTTTAATCAATGTGTTCTTTAGAAGCAGTTATTGTTTTACTGCAGAGCTTTTTTCAGATTGGGTTTCCTCCCTATGTTTCTGTATTTGATTCTTCACTTCAGATGCTATGAGTTCAGAGATTTCTTTCAGAAATTAATTCCACCCCGAGTTCCTCTATATCTTTCTGCTGTTGCTTATTTACTTTTGATGCTATTAATTCATACATTTCAGCTGAGCTACTGTCCTTTGCACTTGTTCTGGGTGGTCATTGCGTTAATTCAGGTATTCCTTTTTTTATTTCTGGTCTGAGTTCCTCTATACCTTTCTGCAGCTGTTTCTTTATTTCAGAAGTTCTTGATTCATTGATTTCAGCTGTGTGATTCCCAATTTGTTCTGTGCTAGTGTCCTCTGCACTTGTTATGGGTGGGCTTGGATTCTGAGATTGCATTTTGTTCCTTCTTGTTGTCATTTTGTATAGCAGTGTCTTCTGACCTTTGTTGTAGAGCTTTGGTGCAGTTATAATCTTAGCACCTACTGAAATTCAGGTGCAGATCTACAAAGTTTGAATTTATCCAGTTGTGTCTGGCTTGGGTCTGGCTTCTGTCCTCAGCTCCTTCCTGCTGCAGCCTTTGGAAGTGAACCTGTTGTGCCCCTCTGGCAAGATGTTCTGCTCCTGGACTAGCTGGCTGGTTCTGTCCCCTACTCTCTCTGCAGGGAGTACAGGTGCAGTTTCACCCCAGGCTTGTATGCCAGGCCTGAGCTGAGTCTGAAGAGGACAAGGTGGAGTAGGAGAGAGAGGAAGCTCACCCACACACTCACCAGGCCCAGGCTATGACTGGATCTGGGGGTCACGAGAATGCAGAAGTTCTCACTCACTGGTAGGGCGTGATGGGGGCTGCAGAGTGGTGGGGGGTCCCAAGGGTACGGAAGAGGGTCTCACCCACGCTGCACCTGCGCTTGGACCAGACAGGTGCTACTAATAGTTTAGATAAGATATCACGTCTGCATGCTGTGCTATGAGTAACTAGTATGAAGAGAACAATATGCAATGTATTAATTATTGTAACTGTCCTAATCTGTTTTGAAACTGTCTTATTGCTATTCTTTTTCAATAAAATTAATTTAAAACAAAAAACCAAAAAAACCTTGTATCCTATCCATTTTTTTTTCCAGAAGCTACTGGAGGGTGTGTTCCACTAAAATAAGGAATAAAATAAAGAGAAATGGCATGGGATCACACAGAGAAGAAACATGATAGGAATTTTAGGATAAAAGTTAAGTGGCACGCCTTAGGAGTGTCCTGGGTATAGACCAAGCCCTCCACAAGGGCTCTACGATGAATTTTATCTAGGGAAAAGAAAAAGTAATTGGTAAGTACAGAGTGGCATTTCATAAAGCTATAAGGGTTATGAAATAACTTAGCCAAAGGTTTGAAGAAAGATAAGTACATTCTAAAGTGAGGCAGTTTTATATAAATGCCAGGAAAAAGATATTTGTTCAAGAAGGAAATGTTACTTTTGGCTTAGGAGTGAAGCATGATTCCACGGTATCAATGCTGAAAATGCTCTAGAGATTCAGCCAAATATAACTGTACTGAGATTATGGTAGGAGGAATATAAAAGAGCTATATTTTGTACAATAAGAGATAATATGTAAATTAATAAGAAAAGTTATACCACATACAGGTCGAATAGAGGAAATAAACTGCTGGATTTGAGTATTACTTGACTTTTTATGTGCATGCTACTTTGAGAAAAAAGAGATTTTTCAATGCAAACAGAAATATTACAGACAGTATGATATAACAGAAAGGGTTTGAGCTAGGAATAGAAGTTTAAAAATATTGATTACTTGTACTGTGATCTTGGGTAAACCATATAATTTTTTGGAGTCCCAACTTCCTTATCTGTTCATTTGGACTTTACTTCTAAGAGTCGTTCCAACTTCAAGGTTCTGATCCCATTACAGTGAAGCTCAGCTGAAACTCTTCTCCATGCTCTCATGGTGTATCTTTACACATTTTTGTTCACTCTGCCTCAGGTCTCTCCACATTTGCCTTGATAATGAAATGGAATTAACATATCTCCAGCATGGGAATCCTACTGTACCTGTGAGGCTAGTCTTCGCATAGCTTCCTCCTGCCGCCTGCGCATTTCTGGGGTTCCTGGGCAGCTTCCACTGGTGATGGATGAATGGGCTGAGGGTGGCTGTGTGAGTGGTAGCTCTCTGTTGGCATCTACATCTGGATTTAAAAAAATGAAAAGTCTACATCAGATAATTATAAAACTCTCAAGGAAAATTAAATTCCATTTGTTGTATGACTCAACAATTCCACTCCCAGATATACACTCAAGAAAAACAAAAACAAAAATCCACAGGAAAATTTACAAATGTTTGGAGAAGCATGACTCAAAATAGCCCAAACTAGAGTTAAACGTCTAGCAGCTGATGAACAGAGAAACTGATATATCCATACAATCAACTACTACTCATCATAGTAGCAAATAAGAAATGAGATACTGATACATGCTATACCACAGATGACCCCTGAAAATAAGTTAAATCAAAGGAGTCAGTCAAAAAGAGCACTTATCTTGGTATGGCACCACATGCTTCTAGTCTACTCTACTCTGGGAGGCTGAGGCCAAGGGATTGCAAGTTTGAGCCCAGCATGGACAACTTAGTGACACAGCTAGATCTTGTTTTAAAAAGGTTGGGGGTTGGGGACAGAGCTCAATGCGAAGGCAATGAGTTCAAGCTCTAGCATTGGGGAGGGTTGGGGGGGGAAAATGATACATAGTATATAATTCTATTTATATGAAATGCCCAGAGTAGAGTTCCTTAGGGACAGAAAGACAATTAGGGGTTTCCAAGGCTTGAGGTAGTAGATTACAAGGAAAATGGGGGTGTACACAGTAAGAAGTATAGGTTTCTTTTAGTGGAATAAAGATGTTTTAAGTTAGATTATAACTTCTATATAGCCCAGAAATATACTAAAAATACTGAATCCAACTATTTATTTATTTATTTGAGACAAGGTCTTGTTATGCAAAGCTCAGGTTGGCCTTGAACTCACTATATAATACAGGCTGGCCCTGAACGTGGTAATCCTCCTCCTTCAGCCTCCTGAGTGCTGGGATTACAGGTGTGTGCCACCCTGCCTGGCTTGAACTGAATACTTTAAATAGACAAGTTGTATGGTCTGTATTATGGCTCCATAATACTTTAAATTATTTATTTAATGTGCTGCAGGGGTGGGGACAACACAGCACACTGGGGATCGAACACACCCCTGCCCCCGCTGAGCTATCTGGCCCACTCTAAAATTTAATTTTTAAGATGAAGGTTTTTCTATGTTACCCAGGCTGGCCTTGAATCTATGATCCTTCTGCCTCAGCCTCCTCAATAGCTGAAATTATAGATATGTAGCACCATGTCTGGCTGGCTCCATAATATTTTAGAATATTAAAATTTGTTCCTCATATTTAGAAAATGTTTTCTTACCTCCTGTTAAAATTATAGACTACATTTAGGAATAAGATTGTACTTAAAAATAGGCACTAAAATAAATATTTGTGATTATTCGATGACAGCTTTTGAAAAGAAGGAACAGAGGAAGGCAGTCCTCTTTTAACTCCTTCCCACTAAGAGTGAATTTACATGTCTATCATACAACTGGATAGAGTTCTGAATAGCTGCAGGTTGGAGGGTATAGAAAAGAGCAGGGAAACAAGTCTGAAGAAATAGATGGCTTCTTAGGATTAAGTTCAGTGACCTATCACCCTATTACTTTTGCTGCTTATTTTTCTCCCATGACTCCCTTTTCTTTGTCTGGAATTTGATTTTTTTTTTTTATTTTTTATTTAGGGAATGTTCTACAGGGTGTTCAGGGTCTCACTACTAGATCAGACTCGTAGTGATCCGCCTGTTTATAGCCTCCCAAGTGCTGGGATTACAGGTGTGCACCACCATGCCCAGTCTCAATTGTCTATCTCAGCATGCCCCGGGGCGGGGCCTGTACAGCAGGGCTGAGAATTGAAACCCCAGCCTCTGTGCCTGCTTGCAGGCGCTTTAATTTGCTGAGCTATTTGGCCAGCCCTTTGGAATTTGATTTTGTGACTAATTATTATCCAAATACTCTTTCTTTTAGCTATTCCCTTTTATAGACACCAACCCCCCCTTTTTTTTTGGTCCTAGTGTCTCACTTTCTATTTAGTAGTCAGCAAACAGTAGAAATAACAGTTAATAGGTAGGTGGTAGTGTGCAGAGCACACTGGCAAACAGACTTCTGTCTGAAATGAGCAGAGCAGGGAAGTCACAGTTACTTAGCAGCTGTTTTGGGGCTTGGCAGCTGTGAACAAGTTTCAAATCCAAATAACTACACTGGGTCATTTTAATGGTAGGAGAATATAGTCTTGTTTTAGACAGAACTTCTTTAACCACTGTACTGAGAATACCTACAGCTATTGTAATGATGTCTGAATTACACAATCAGTCTATTCAAAAAATGTTTTGTTCTTGGTGTGCATGTGTGTGGTTTGGGGGCAGGTGGGTGACAGTGCAGAGAATGATGGGGGACTTAGATTTTGGAGAACAGGCAGAAAGCATGGTCATAGCCTAGTGTCTTCCCTGACAGCTTTTCTGCATACACACAGGAAAATGATCAGGACAGGCAGCCAGGGGAGCTGTCTGCGAAGGAAGGAGGGGCAGGCAATGAAGTCCTGCAGGCTCACTGCTCACACCAACAGCAGTGCAATTCAGTGTGGAGGAGGCAGAACAAAGGAATAGATGATGCACAGACAGATACATCAAAAGTCCTGTAACTTCCTCCTCATTTTCATTATGAATACAGTTATATCATTGGTATTAATTAAAAAGAATTAGGAAACTATCAAGTTAAACTCTAAAAACTTAACTTGGCAATTCTAGTTTTGTGTAGCTCTGACAGATCTAGTACAATACATTCTATCTCCTTTGACTCCTTTTCTTTTTTTTTTTTTTTATTTTCCCACAGAATCTTTTTTAATATAAAACAAAGATAAAACACATTTGAACCCTGCAATCTGCCAGCATGCCTCGTTTCTACAAGATGCATGCCAGACTATGGGACTACATAGCAAAGAGTCTTTAAGAGCATCTGGCTGGGAGAAATAGAAAATGCAGACCTCAGGGAAGACCTCAAGCTCAGAAACTGAGTTACATCCCTGAGCGCTACAGTAGTCCTTGTCTTTTCAGATCCTCATATGTTTTCTTATTTACAACATTCCCACTGGAGTCTTCATACTCTTCCTCAGTGTCAGGCTGCCATTGTTCTGAAGCCTTCTGCAGTTTCAGCTTGGCCCACAAAGAGACAGCATCTTCAATCTGTGTCACATTAGCAAAGTGAGCAGTGTTTGGAATGCCCAAACACCTCATGCCATGAGCATGACGCCATTCGGCGAAGTGCCGCTGGAAGGCCTTAGGCCCTCGGTAGGTGTAGTTTCCACAAATCTCACAATTGTAGTTGATATTTAGGCCATGCAGCTTATACAGCCAGTAGGGGATGGGTTTGCCATCCCAGCCCAGGGGCAGGTTTTTGGGGTTGTAAATGATCTCATTCTCCTCATCTTCACTTTCATTCTCACTGATCTGCTCCTCCTCCTCCTCCTCTCACTCGTCTCCTGTTCTGGCTCGCTTGCGTTGTACATTTTCATGAGTGAGCTGTCGCTGTTCCCCAAGAATCTCGACATATTCGTAGACCTGGGCTTCTAGGAAAGCAATGTCTTTGTTCCTCTCAGTATCTCGCTTGGTGCCCTTTGATTTGGGGTTTTTGGCAAACAGGGAGGTGTCAAGTGATTCCAAGGACTTCCCTTTGGTGCTAAATAACCTCTGGGCTCGCTCTTCAAGGGTGCCGCCGCATTTCAGTCCTAAAGCTAAGAGGGCAGACTTCAATCTGTCTAGACCCAGAGAGGCCAACTCCTCCCAGGAGGAAAATGCAGACAGGTCAAGATGGGCGCCAGCATGCGTCAGGGCGCTGCTTGTTTCTTTCGGCCAGCCAGGAAAGGTGCCGTTCTCCCATTTTTTCTCAAATTCAGTCTGTATCTTCCCAAAAAGCTCATTCTGATCTTGGAGGGGCTTCACTCTGTCAGTGTAATCCTGAAGATATTGAAGCAGCATTTCAAGGTATCTCTTGTATTCTGCATTCTTCCTTTCTTTAGGAATGTCAAATAACTTGTCAAAGATAGACAGGTATGTGATATAATCCAGCTTCTCCGATGCCTTCAGATTAATATACTTGAGGTAGCAGTCATGGAGATCAAGGTAACGGCCATATCCCTCTTCATCTGTGAACTCCACCAAGTTCTGTGCCTCTTCACTTGGATTCTCTCGTGCTTTCAGGAGCTCCTCAAATTCCACTGACATTGGCACACAAATCTCATTCGGGTGCTTCCGGTGGAATTCCTTTATTTGTTTGAGTCTATTATAGAATTCAGCAAATTCATTCGGTCCTGAAATAGCATTGAGCTCCTCCTTTCGTAAGCCTTCCTTGTCATCATACAAATCCCTCAGGTTCCCACTGACCTCCATGTACCTATCTTGCATGGCGCGAGTGCGATGGTCGGAACTGATCTGGTCCCGGAGCGTAGACTTCTTAGTGAGCATCTCTTTAGCCATCACGTCCATGAGCCGTTCCTTCTCCTCATGGTACCGCCGCTGCTGCTCGAGAATTGTCTCCATAGTTCCTTGGCGGAGGCACAATTCAGGCCCTTTGACTCCTTTTCAAGTTTTGAAAATTATCTATCAGGCTGAACCTACAGTCTTAAGACCAGACGCTTATCTTATGAATGGGGAAGTCCGCTAATGCCAAAGCATATTCTTGGGAGGCAGGCAATAGTGTGTTAGAGAATACTTATATGAACTACTTCAAGACACTGTCTTTGGAGCCCAGTGTGGTAGTGCATGCCTGTTATCCCAGGGTTCAGAAGGGCCTGCGAATCTGAGGTCAGCTGTATCTACCCAACAAGATCTTATCTTAAAAAAAAAAAAGAGTATTTTTGGGGAGCACATGGGCTATTTTTAAATTTTCTCTTGCTCACCCAGGCTTGTGGGGGTACATAGATACCTTTGCTTTCTGAGAAAGCCGCTCTTTCCTCTGGCTTGGATGTATCTCATCATCCATGATTCTATCAGAGATTATTAGCTATCTGGTTTTCTTTTGGGCATACTCAAACAGCTCACTACTTAGGGATAAGTAGTTTAGTGTAATAAGATATTTAAGCACTGAAAGGAAAATATTGGACTAGGTATCTTTTTAACCACAAAGAAATATTCTTAGAATGAAAATACTGGCACAGAAGCTTTATTATGATTACTACTACCACTACTATACTAAGAATTGAACCCAGGACCTTTACACTTGGCTATATCCCCATACTATGCTCTTCTCTTTTTATTATTTAATTTGGAAGTGTCTGACAGGTCACTAATTTGTCTAACTTGGCTTAAAATTGCAATTTTCTTTGCCTCTGTCTCACAGAGTGCAGGGAGTACAGGTGTGTGTCACCACAACTAGCTAGAAGCAAGTCTTAAATATCAACTAGGCATACTCCTAAAGAAAACTGAGACCTAAAGAATAAAGTAAAATTCTCCAGGTCACAAGTTAGTGTATAGTCAATGAATTCTGGGCACAAATCTGAGGTTCTGGGTTCCAGAGTACCACATCAACCTGCCTTAGAAGGGATTCATCTAAAATCCAAGCATGACATTCTCCTATACTATAAACATTCTTCCATATTATTTCTTTATCATACTGTGGTGAAAAGGGTATTTTGATTCAACTAGCTTTCTTCTTGGAAGCTAGTTCTTTTTCCAAATGTTAGATATTTGTATGTTTGCCAGAGCCAATCTGCCTACTTGATACTAATTTCAAAAAGAAGGTAATTGGAAGGTAGTCAGTGAGCTCTTGTTAAGTTGTTAGACATGGAAATTTTATGATCTCACACAAACCACTTCTAGCAGTTGTTATCTGAATGTGTGTGTTAGGCCAAATTACTGATTTATCACTAGTAATAATATGCTATGCTATTCCCCGCTACATTATGTTACACTATGCTATGTTACACTATACTACCCTAGAAAGCTACTACAGTGATAGCTTTCCTTTTTGTTCTCTTATAATTAACAGAACCAGGAAGACTAGTATGTGTTTGGTGTGTATAGAAAGGCCACTTAAAAGAAACATTTTTATACACATTTCCCCCTCCCCTTCTTTTTTTTTGGTTTTGAGACAGTGTTTCACTACACAGTTTAGGCTGTCTTTGAACTTACTGTGTGGCTCAGGCTGGCCTCAAACTCATGGCAATCTTCCTGCCTCATCCTGCTACTGGCTGGGATTATAGGCATGTGTTACCACACCTGGAATGTGTTTTTTACTTGAGACACTTTTACTAGTAAGGAAAAACAAAGAATACCAGCAACTATTATTCTTCCAAGAAGAAAGCTGGTTGAAACAGAATACCCTCTTTACCACAGTATGGTAAGAAAACATACAGAATAATTTTTAGAATAGAAAAGTGGACGAGAGAATAATAATACAGAAGAATAGAAAAGTGGATAAGAGAATCGCTTCTGAAATCAGACTGCTCAGTTTTTCAATTTAGTGCCTTTAAAATCTAGTAATTGTTCTTAATTTCTCTAAGCTTTGGCTTCTCAGCCATTTAATGAAGACATCAAGGACTAATTCACTGAATTGATAATAGTAGTGGGTAAATTAATATTGGAAAAGCACAGGCTGTCTGGCACATACGGTATGAGTGTTTCTAGTGGTGATCATTAAGCTTATGAAGTCTGGACCTAAGTGGTAAGAAAACTTCTCCCCACAAAGAAGCAAGCAAAACCCTCTTTAAGATATAATGAAGCTCAAGGCCAAGCAGCATAACACTGACACTAACAGCAAAAAAATGAAAGATGCAAACATTGTGCTGGCATGTAACAAGAAGAAATGGGCACCAGCTGAATGAAATCTGACAGTGATGAATGAAAAGCATTCTGCAGGCCAGTCTGCAGTCATTATTCAAAGGACAGATGGATCATACAGACATAGGGAAGAGTCATAACCTTATTCCATGAGTAATTTTTTTTTTTCAGTCCTACTTAGGTAACTGTTGAATATGCGGGTTAGATGTACACTCTTGGAACTCTGAATTAATGGTCTTCAAGTTTTACAAATTAAAAAAATAAAAGGATATATATCTAAATATAAATATGTCACAAAAAATTTCAGAGCCAAGGAAGTTCCTTAAAAAAGAATACGTACGTTTTGGAGAGGCATGTGGACTGTCTGAGGCAATCTGTCTCATCCGTGTACCATGGCAGCTAAGGGCCACCAGTCTTGAGATTATGGCAGTTTTTCCAAACCCAATATTTCCCACAATCACCACTCCTTGGTTCACACTGGCATTTGAGCTTTGAAGTTGAGCATCTATTTCATGGAAAACCCAATCCCGACCAACAAACACCGACTCGGTAGTGATGCTGGGCACTTCAAAGAGCAGAGGCTTCAGGGAGATATCTGGAGGCCTGTAGGGTGCAAAGCGGACTGCAAGGAACAACAGAGCAATAAAGAATGTAAGTCAGACTGTCAACATTGAGAGAAGCAAAAGAAGCACTGTAGTTTAGAAGTCTACCAGAGTTACAATATGACGATATTTTGGGCGTATTCAGAAAGTAATAAAGCTCTGAATGTTGGTTTTACATAAGTAACACTTCAAATGGCAGAATGTAAATATTGTTCAAATAGTAATGATTTGCAACAGTCAAAATTGAGACAATATTAAAAATTATTATAGTATCTGATACAGACAACCTCCCCAAAATACCCTGAAAAACAAGGTGGAGGCAAAGGAGAAAAAAGAATCGAGATGTGTTCTGTATGTGTACCAATTCTCCACAATGAATGTAATTATTATAATAAAGATTAAAAAAACCCAGTCATATTGGATCAGGTGCCCCCCCCCCCAAAAAAAAAAAGGTTGACGGGAGCTGCCCTGCCCTAGCCAGCATATGTGCACAGAGTGAGAGGGAGGCACCACTGTGAGGAATGAGCCCTCTCTAGATGTCAACCTGTAGCACTTTGATCCTGAACTTTTCCAGTTTCTTGGACTATGAGAAATAAATTTCAAATCAATCAATCAATCTATCAGAGATGTCCCTTGTGCCAGAAATCAGTACGGATCCAAGAGTAGTCTTAAAGGTCTCTTGCTTGAGACCCAGTCCTAGCCCAGGTCCGGTGAGTGTGTGGGAGAGCTTCCAGCTACCCTGTGCCAGCAGGACTGACTACTGGTCCAGCCCAGGCACAGCATGGGCGAGACCCTCTACCACCCACTTGGAAAGCCCCCCACGACTCCACAGGATAAACCCGAAGCCTTTATATTGAACTGGATGCCACTGGAACATATACTCATAAGTGAAATAAACCAGACACACATGTATAAATATCATATAGTCTCCCTAGTATAAGAACTCAAAAGAAGAAATACAAATAGAAAGGTATAATCCAAGTAAAAGGAAAGCAGGATCTCGAGGGCTAACTAATCAAGAGAGGGAAAGGAGAAGAGCTAGGAAACAAGACAATGTCAAGCCATATAGTTATATGTAGAAGATGAGCAAGGCAATGATCCTGAAAATCTTTAGAAGATTTTTTTAATCTAACAGTTAATTGGAAAGACTCTCAACCTGACTAACTATATATACTGATATCCGTGAACTAAGCTACTGCACTGCAGATGGTAATTTGTAATAGTAGTTTCATGCTTGGAGTGCCTGTCATTCTGGTATTCTGAATATGGGCTGCTTGTCATGACATGCCAGTTACTGCTAAGATGTCTCTCGGGTAGGTGGATGTTCAAGAAGAAGGGGATGGTGAAGGAAAGCAAGAGAAAGGAAAAGGAATATTGTGGGTCTGTCCTGCTTCAAGGTTGTTTATGGTGAGATTTTTGGACTTATGTGCAAACATGAGAAGTATATAATTCTTTATGCCTATTTTTAAAATATATTCTAATTTTTAAATGTTTTTTATCACATTCTGTAGGGACTTAAAGTTCAACATATCAATACTTGATGATAAATACCTGTTCCATATTATGCCTAAGATGTTTGATATGCAGACAGATAGTGAGGTTAAACTTAACAGCCTAAGTTGTTTGATAATAACAATAAACTTGTCTTCCGGATGGTTAACCACCTAAGTTTGCTGACCAAAATTAGAGAAAAAGGAGGGCTGCAAGGAAAGCCAACATTTTGGCCCTAGCCTTCCAAGGTCAATTACGACTCAGGACATATGAGAACTTGTACTGTAACGTCATGTAACTCAGTAGTGTCCCAAATTTTCTGATCAAGAAGATTATGGGGCCAAAGAGGAAAGTGATCGATGATGTAGAGTGTGCCTCAGGAGAGTCACATGGAGAGAAAACATTCTCTCAGGCTTTCACAGAGAGCACATTGGCCAAGCAACGGCCGTGACTCATCCACATGGCTGACACTGACAAAGCTTCTACAATCTGAGGTACAAGATCTCAGGATAAATCCTGAGGGGATTTCACTGACCTTATCAGACCCAAAAGCTACAACTCTTGTTGCATAGTCCTGCTTTACCTTGGTCTTAACCATCCAGTAGAAAAGTATAAAAACGAAATATGAGAAGTAAAGCCATGCTGTTATGTTGAGCTGTGGGGACTCAGGTCAACAACTTCTGACATTGCCA